AGCTTTCCTGCCATTAAGGACCTCGCTGAGCACGCTTTGATGGTCAGCACAACTGCGCTTGGGGCGGAATCCGTTCTGACTCTCGTGCAGCAGCGGCGCCGCTGCTGCTGTAGCAGCAGTTGCGCGTGGCTGCTGCTGCTGCTGCTGTTGTGCTGAATGCTGGCCTTGCTGCTGCTGCTGCTGCTGCTGTGCTTGTGTTCGCGGCTGCTGCTCCTGCTGCTCGCCCTCTGCAAACTTGATAAGGCGCTGATTGAGGACGCTGGTGTAAAACGTATAGAGCACGCTGAGCAGGGTGATGCCGCGGTAGTTGCCTGGGTCTGTCAGATTGCCCTTCTTAGGCATGCTGACGACTGTCCCGGCACCTGATGTACCTGCTCAAGCTGCCACATGAGGCTGCAGTACTGCAGCAGCATGTCTGCAACTGTGTTGCCTCCGTACTTAAAAAGCTCGTTGACAATGCCTTCCTCTGCAGGGTTGCCAGCTTTGCCTGTGCGTAGACGCTGCAAGCATGCAGAAACCTCGGCGGCAGTGATGGGCAAGTCCAGCGGGCAGGGTGGGGCAGCATGAGGTGCGGTTGAGTCATGAAGGTACTGCTGTACATTGGCGGCAACCTGTGTCATGTGCGCTGGGTCGAACTGGGGGTTTGAGGCGGCAAACGCTGCATGGCTACCAACACGCTGATAATGGCATTTGAATGCATCTGAAATTTCTGCAGGGGTTGAAGCCGTCTGTCCTGAGGGGTGCTGCATGACACTGTACACGGCCTCGCTGACATGCTTAGGGCACAGGCGACGCATAAGCTGCCACATATCCTTCTCCCCAAGCGTGCTGTCGTCATTTAAGCGGTCTCTGTACGCTGCAGTGATTGCATGCTCGCATCGCTGTTTGTGCTGCTTCTCAGCTGCTTTAATAAACTGTGCAGTAGCCTTGCGCTGTTGATCAAATGCATTTCAGTCTGCAACAAGGCCGGACTCCCTGTACTGTGTAAAGGCCTGCACCCTGGCCTGCACAGCATTTGTCAGCGCCTGTGTCCACCACGGGAATGACTTGCCAACCCAGACCCTTTTAAACCCAAAATTGGCATCGACCGCCTGACGAAGCGCTCCCAGCAGCTGCGCATGTGCTTGTTGTACTGCAGCATTGGCCGTAAGTTGAGCTGCAGAAACCTGCTGTTGTAGCATGGTAATAGTGGACGTATAAGCAGCGACAAGCTGTGCCAGGGCCTCCTGGTACGCCTCAAGTTCGGCCGATTGCTCCCCATTGCGCACTTTGAAATCATTCGGCTGTGCATTGAGGCGCAGCTTGACCTGTTTTGCAGGGCGACGTGCGACAGGCCTTTGAATGCAAGCAGACACTGGCTGATTGTCAGTAGAACCCACTGTGTATGGCCCAACCTTGGCTGTTGGCCTGGCGGCAGCTTGGCGCGGCATAGCAATGACAGCAGACGCAATGATGTAGTCATTGAGGGACCTCCGCGCGGTGCCCCTGTGGGACCTGTCACATGTGATGTGCTGGTGGGGAGAGGTGGGTGCTGTGCGGGCATGCAGTGAGTAGAGGTTGACAGCATTGAGCAGCGAGAGAAGGAGTTCGCCATTGTTGTTTGTGGTTGTTTTGCCATGCATGCCAATGCGATCTGTGGGGGCTTGCACCTTGCCCGACCCTGGCGTTGAAGTCACCCAAGATCAAGACAGAGCCTCTGCTCGACAGGTATGCGAGGTCCTCCTGCAGCGCTGAGTAAGCAGCCCTCCTCACTGGCGCATGCTTGTTCATATCAGGCATATACACCACTCCAATAAACAGCTTAGGAGCACCATTCTGCCCTGGCATCACTAACCACAGTGCATCCTCGTATTGCTGATCAGCAAAAGCAAACACTTTCACAGCATTTGCAACAGCGGCATGCACAGCAGCCGCAACACCACCACTGGCACACCCATTCTCCCCAAGAGGCCTGGCCTTACTGATGTATGTGTAGCCCGGAATGAGATCGGCAGGCCGCAGCTTCCCTGGCGCCTCCTTGGTTTCCACAAAGCCCATGATGTCGCATCGCAGATCTTTGAGTGATTGGCACACTTCCACCAGGCTTTGACCTGCCTTAGGCATGTTGTTCACATTGAGGACGCCGCACACCAATCCACTGCTACCTGGCTGCACCGGTGTCCTGTTGGGGCGGTGGCGGCGATGCTGCAGGGTCCTGCGGCTGGGCCTGGTGTTGTTGGAGCGTTGGCTGTGCCTGCAGCCCTGCTGCTGACCTGTGCTTCCAAAATGTCAAAAGGAGCAGCACTTTTATACAGCAGCACTTTTATACAGCAGCAAGCAAGCCAAAATGTGAAATGTAACAAGCAGCAGCACTCTCTGATGCACACGGGCATAGGGTTCCATGACGGGGTTAGTGGTATGTAACGGGGGGGTCGTCCTCTACCTCGGGGCCGCAGAGTGGGTGGACGTGGCGTGAGGCCTGCAGTGGGTGTAGGAACTGTTACCATGTGAAGAAGCAGCAGCACTATGTAATAGAATGAGTTGGTTGGAAATCAGAAGGGTTTGCTAAGTACCACTACGTTCGTTGTTCTACTGGATCAGCCCTTCCCAGGCTACACACTGGACTGGCCGGAGGACTGCTTGGCGCAAGCACTGAACAGGAGCTGGTTTGCGGCATCTATTGCTGCCGATGGCGCAGGACCAACAGGACCAGCCGCCTGAGATGGCGTGCACACGCCCTGACCAGGCGCCAAGCAATGCAGGAGCCCATACTTTTCAACCCATCTATCTCATTGGACGCTCTTGTTTTTGGCAACGCCCCGTTGCGCCCATGGTAGCGCATAGCAGCGGCTGGCTTCACGCATGCTGCTCATTTCATGCGGCCTGACCTTACTCTGCTCAAACAACAGTGGCATGCTGTGCTTCCGCGCCTGGCAGATTTGGAGCCACGTCTCCTCAGCATTCTGGCTGCCTTGCTCCCATTCAACCTCCCTGATGCACCATTCGCAAGCCAACGCATGCCGTTAGTCACATGGTTGGATACATGGGAGTTGCAACCAGGTGCCGCCAAGTCACTCGCTGCATTGTCGGCCAAGGACTTATACACTGCTGCTGTGCTCCCTCGCGCAGATCCCTCACCACGAGTGCTGCGCAAATGGCGGCACTTGCTGCCTCAGCCCCTCACGTCACTACATCGTGCTTGGTTCCAGAAGGTTTGGCGCACTCACATGCCTCGCAGGTGGCTGGACACGTTGTATGCGGTGCTCAACAACTCCCTGCCCACTTCAACTAAAGTCCGGCATCGAACTCCAACCATATAGCTGCCCGGTGTGCCACCAAGGCCCTGACGATATCCCTCATATCTCGTTTTTGTGTGCAGCTGCGCAGGAGGTGTGGTCGTGGGCACAGCAGGTACTGCAAGCCTGGCTCCTGGCAGCACGTCTGCCGGGTGCTCCCCTTGACTTCAGGTTGTGGCTGTGTATCACCCTAGACTTCCCTCACCTGCAGCACCCCTGGAAGTGGCTATTCTGGTCAATCCCAGTCTTACGTGCGCTATGGTTCAGCCATAATGCACAGGTGTTTGATGGACGACGCTGGTCTTTTTCAGAGGCTCAAAATTACTGCATCTCACAATGGCTGTCCACTGCGCTGCTGCTGTCACAGCACTACCCGGTTGCGGCTGTTACATAATGATCCGTTGTGTGTAGTGCCGGCTGGGCGGTATTCATCATTGGTGGTGTGTCCAATACGGTTGTAGGCATGTATCTAACACATGTAGTGCTTGTTGTTTGTGCATCTCACTAGCTGCGTCGCTACATGCCCAACAGCTGCAGGCTGGTTACTGCTTGCTGACACATCAAGTGACCCGGTGTCTGTCCTGGCACTGGCACCTCACCGGCGCTCCGAAGGGTGCTGCTGTCTTGCCTACACCAGGATCATCAATTTTCCACGGCATTACCACAGTTGCTCCACAGGCGCGGGGTGGCTGCCCAGGTGCTGGCGAGTGACCAGTTCCTGGCTCACTGCTGACTGCCTCATCATCATCATCATCATATCACCCATTCAAGCCATAGCATCAGCGCCATCGGCCCCGCGCCCCACCGGGGCGGAAAGAGGAGGGAGCACTGCTCCAGAATGTTTGCATGCATTGCGCACATCCCAAGACTTGACAAGATAAACAGCAATACACAGTGACACCATCAGACATCTTCCAGAACTGCCCCAAATATCATCAGATACAAAACGCAACACCTTGATTGACGAATCAGCCATGGACAAAACGCTGCGCAACTTTTCAGCGCAACCAGGCAGGGATCTGATCTCAGCAAACATATCATCCCTCTGAGCAGAAGTAGCAGGGCAATCAAACATGAAGTGTGACAAAGACTCAACTTCTGCACCACAACAAGGACATCCTGAAGTGGAGTTAGCTCTGCGACCGCCAAACTGACTAGTACGCTCATGTACACACAGACAACCCATACGAACACGCAACAGCAATTCAATACCACGTGGAATTGCCACTGAACGCAAGTACGGCCTAGGCCTCCTGAAACCCATAGCATCAACATGAGTGGGATGCACATGATGCACATGCACTGCTGACTGCCTGTCATTTTCCCGCGTCCTCCCCTGTTTGTAATGAACTACACATGAGTTTTTAACGGTTCCTGGGCTCCAGGTAAAGCACACTATGTGAGAGGACACGACACTAGCATGCAGTACACTGGCAGCCCACCCAACCCCCCGCATGAAACGCAATATGACTGCTGCTGCTCAAGCATGCAACGCGGACCACCCACTGTAGACGATGCTGGCGCCATTGATGACATGTAGAATGTGTCTACTGCAAGCAACAAGCAAGGAAATGTGAACACAGTGCCGTGGGTGTAGAACTGTTACTTACTATGTGTCTTCTGCAAGCAACAAGCAAGGAAATGTGAACACAGCTTTAGGCAGGGTCGAACTGCATGTACCAAGCCTTGTTGTTGAACAACACGCCATGCACCGGTAAAATGAGTCGATTCCGATGGGGATCGAACCCATGACCTTCGCTTCCGGAGAGCGATGTGATATCCACTACACCACGGAACCTCCCCTTCAATCTTTATAACCGCAGCTACATCTTAACAATATAAACTACAAAAAGGTGGTCTGCGTTCGAACCCTGACTCTCTGCTCCCCCCCCCCTTGTTTGCTGCCTCGGACCAAGGTATTGACCTTGCTGGCCAACTTTGTCCCGTTGAGTTCAGCCCGCCCGCTGTACTGCACAAGTATGGCCTGCTGTCACCGACACTGTTATAGGTTAGTCATGCTGCTTGTCCCAATAGAATTCTACACTGCGTGTTGTGAGTCTGACGGTTCTGCCTGCAGAGCCACGTGTCATGTCTCGCGCACAGAGGCTTTCTCGGGGTGGGCCTCTTTTGGGTGACAGTCTGTTTTTCCGCTGAACTTCTAGCAGCTCTCTTTGTTTTTCGGGTGTTCGTTGCGACGTAGTCGCCTGTGCACACCATGTAACCCCTCTTCTTCTTCGAACCCTGACGGACACGTAACCCTAACTTCTAGCAGCTCTCTTTGTTTTCGGGTGTTCGTTGCGACGTAGTCGCCTGTGCACACCATGTAACCCCTCTTCTTCGACGGACACGTAACCCCTCTTCTTCTTCTTTTTCTTCCGACGGACACGAAGCTTTTTTTGCCCATGAATCAATTGATGTATTATTCTGTCAGAAGCAGCAGCACTCTGATCCAGAAGGATCCTCCTCCTCCTCCTCCTCCAGAAGGAAAGCGAAGCAGAGTCACCCGACCACCCTCATGCAAAGCTGCGCTGGCATCTGTATGCGATGCTGGCTCAACCCAGTGTAATCATCTTCATCATATCACGCATTCAAGCCATAGCATCAGCGCCATCGGCCCCGCCCAGTGTAATGACATGTCTGCTGTCTTTAAACACACTGCTGTACCAAGACGCAGCACTGAAGCAAGCTAGCTTTGTGGCTTTCCGCGCAGCGTTATAGGTGTTCTTGCTGGCGTAACCGCATGTACATACCATGTAACCCCCCTTCCCATATTCTATTGTCTTTCTACACCACAAGTCACAGAACATCACTCCAACGCCATTGCCAGTGACGGATAGTACCAGTAACCTGTTGGTGCTGGCCTTCACCTCAAAACACCCCCAGGTAGTAGCCCACTCTCATCCAGCGGGCTGCAGGCTACTGCTTCAGGTGCGCGGCACGCACATCACTTTGCAACTGCCCTTCATCTGTCACTACAAACGGGCTGCAGCTCCCCTGCTGCTACCACATTGCACCCAAACTGGGTAATATGCAGCAGCACTCCAACATAGCCGGAAAGCGAAGCAATGAAAAGCAGAAGACCCCGGTCCCCCTCATGCAGCCCTGTGACTCACACCATGCGCAAGAGGAGCTGGCATGTCAGGCATTCAACAACAACACATTAAGGCCCCTATGCCTGTGCCGCGTCTTTTGGCAGGCCTTGACAAGCAGCCTCTGGCAGCACCCATCAGTCCAGTACATACGCAGTGAACTTCAGGTAGCGCAGCTCTGGGCAGGGTGCAGGGTAGGGATGGTCTGCAGGCTGGCCCCTCACACCGATCACCGTAGCTGTGCGGCGCGCACGCTGCACTGCTGCAGCGCAGATGGAGTGGAACATGGGGAAGGTGATGTGGCTGGAGCACGACGCCAGCGCCAGCGCTCCCCCACTGCAGGGCACAAGTCCGCAAAGCCACAACGTGCCACAGCAGCAGACAGGGAGGGTGTGGACTGAGAGTAGGGCAAATGCGGGGAAGGGGGTGGGTGCTGCAACCTGCACAACCGACATCACCCTGCACAACCGTCAAGCCTGTTGAGCTGCTCAACCGGGTGAACAAGAGCAGCAGGCTGGCCAGTAACTGGGCTGCTGCCAGCAGTTGTTCACCACACAGAACGCGAACGGGTATGGCTTGAATAGGTAATGTGATGATGATGATGACAGCACGCGAACGCAATTCACACGTATGGAAATCAAGGCCTGTGGGAACTGCCTAGCATAGTCAAAAAAACCAGCCACGACAACACATCATCAGCAGCACAGCAGCACAGCAGCCTGGCCCCCAAAACACTCACCTAGTGGTCACAGCAGCCGCCTTGGCAAACAGCCGCTCATAGCTGGCTTGTGCCTTCTCAACTGACGCCTTGTTTGGCGCAAACGATGGCGGGTCGCATATCACCACATCCCACGCCTCCTTGGCTGCCGCAGCTCTGTCCAGAAAGTCAAAAGCGTCTGCTGCTATGCTCTTGTGTTGATGCGGCGGCAGCTCATTCAGCTGCCAGTTGTCATCTGCTGCTGCTAGCGCTGCGTCCGCAATGTCTACTGTTGTTACATGGCTGGCCCCGGCCGCCCCTGCATAGACTGAGAAGCCGCCGGTGTAGCCAAAGAGGTTGAGCACGCGGCTGCCCCTGTGGAAGGCCTGCAGGCGCAGAGGAAGCCATGCCACCCATGCCAATACAATAACATCACCGCAGCAGCCCTGAAGGCTGAAAGGCTATCGGGAGTCGAGAGAATTTGCAGTCCAAGCTGACTTGTGCTGGATCAATGTTAGCAGCTGCCGGCATGCATGCAGTCCTGTTATCCTTGCCGCAGGTAGCTGCTGCTGCAGCTGTTGCGCCAGACGGCAGCCGCATGCCTCCATCCCTTGAGCATAACAGCTCAAACATACCTGAGCAGCCCAGTGCAACAGCCTCATGAACATGACGCACACATGCCTCCCTGCACTAGCTACACGCGCGCAATTCACACCCAGTACAGCAGCACCTGAGTGCTGAGTTGCGTGACCCACCCCGCACGCAGTCCCCCCCCCACCTGCATCCAGCTCCTGTTGTCCCGCTGGTCCAGGAAGAAGCCCGTCTTCTGGCCCGCCACCAGGTCCGCGGCAAAGGCCAGCCCATTCTCCCTGAACTGCACCGGCGTGTTGGGTGCCGGGCCAACCAGAGCCGAGCCCCTGCTGGCTGAGCCTGACCTGTGTGCGTGTGCGGTGCGATCAGCAAACCACGGCCATCAGGCAGGCACATGGGTCGGCGGGTGGGTGGGTGGGTGAGCAGCGGCAGCTCGATGTTGAAGAAGACGAGATTCGACAGTTGCAGGTTCTTGACCTGCTGAACCTGACCTGTGGGCATGGGGTGCGGCACACCACGGCCGGCCGGCAGGCAGGCAGGCAGGCAGGCAGGCAGGCAGGCAGGCAGGCAGGCAGGCAGGCAGGCAGGTGAGTAGACGGGGAAGCAGCACGCACCAGACCGTCTTGGTGTGACTGTGCAGGCTGACTTGTTGACCACACCTACTCATCCCTGCTGGCTGAACCTGACTGGTTAGCATGTGGTGGGGCAAATCACCGCAGGCAGGCAGGCAGGTGCATGGACGGGTGGATGAGTAGCAACAGTAAGATGTCAGTTGTGCAACTGCGTAGCCTTGCTGAGGCGGGTGCTGCTCACCCAACGACACGCCTGGCATCCCAACACAGCACCGCTGCTGGCCGAGCGTCACCTGTTGGCATCAAATGCGGCACACGCAGCAGGCAGGCACCAAGCTCCGCCATGGTCTGTGACAACTGCAGCAGCTGCTGCCGCCTGGCCTTCAGGTCCGAGCCTTGCAGCTGCACCTACTGCTGTTGCTGCAGCCTGGCAACCGCAGCACACATGAAACAACCACAGCTGCAATCACATATTTGTCGGTCTGCAACGTTGTTCAGCTCCATGCGCTGCAGTGGGCCTCACCTGTTCTTCAGGTACACGCTCTGCAGCTGCAGCCGCTGCTGCAGCCAGGCCGCAATGCCCTTTGCATCGTAAAAGCCTGCTGGTCCATCACCATCCAGCTTCAGCACCGCGCTGCTGCTGTACACGTCACACACCAGGCCAGGCAGCAGGTCGCCCTCCCCATTCAGCAGCCGGTAACCTGGCAGAGGTGAGGAGTGGAGGCAAAGGAAAGCGTCGTGAAGAGCAGCAAACAGCAACGAGGTGTGCAAGTCCAACCAGCAGCACGCACACGGCAGCAAGGAAACCAGCAGCATGCACAAGGCAGCAAGGAAGAAAACTCCACCATGAGATGCGGACGCTGCTGCCCTCGATGTGTCATGGCTTGCACTAAGCCTTAGGCCGGTTGTTGCCGCCGTCTATATAGTTGCCCTCAATCAGGGACCTGTGTTCACATGCCACAGCATGATGCGACAGCCCAGGCCAGAGATGAACATTCAGCTCCTTGTACCTGCCACGCTTGCGTGCATGCCCTGAAACAGCTGCTACCCTGACACTACTGCTGCCTGCATGTGCGTGTCGGCAAGCATGTCACCTCAGCATCTCATGACCAGCTCGCACTGAAAGCGCCACCACACCTAGCAGCTCACACACAAACTTGTGCACATGCTTTGTGCCATGCGTAAAACAGCTGCCGCCTACTGCTGCCGCTGTGGGGCTACTGCCTGCCCTACTGCTGCCGCTCTCTGCAGGCGCGGGCCAGGTAGCTTGTCGATCCTTGCATCCACCAACAGAACAAGCGATACCCAAAAGGACAAAGCTCGACCGCACATACCTGTTGTATCCTGCCCCTGGAACAGCCTCCGCCTGAGCGCTACTGCTCTCTGCAGGCGCGCCTCTACCAATGAGTCATCGAGGCGGCGCTCCTTGACTGCCAGAGCCCTGAACACCAGCTTGGATTTGGGGTCGTACAGGCCCTGTGCAGTGAAACATGGACAGCAGTACAGTTGACACTTGGCACAGCCGGTACAGGTGGAAGGAATTCGGCCCTAATGAAAGGAAGACGACAACCACGAGGCGTGCAGAGCGCTTGCATGGCACAGGCCCAGGCCGAGCAGCATGTACTGCAAAACATGGAGACATTTAGCCCGTGCGGTGTTGACGGGGTGTGGAGGGTACAAGGACAGCACCGCTTGGCTGCAACAACCACTAGCGTTGCTGAGATCCAGTGGTGGCAGCCCTGCTGCTGGTCATGTGCAGCAACTCCAGGCACCACAGCCGAGGGAGCAAGGCTGCACCAGTGGGGGGACAGAGCTGTGCAAGTGCAGCGCTGCTTGGCGTGCTGCAGCC